AACCGTGTAAAAAGCGTGAAGTCGTTTTATCGGTTGGCACGTTCCGCGCAATAAAACCGATTGTACGGAAATATCGCAAAATCGAAGCCGGCGGAGAGAGAAGCTCGGCGGCGAATTATGCGAACGCTACACATTCGGTGTGCATTTAATTACATCAACAGCTCGTATTTACAGATTCCGTTTACGTTACATCATCGGGCCTTTTAAAAGTGTACCGCGCTCGATCCAAGATCCAATTGCAACCATCTGTTGTTCATCATATCGGGTTGCACGAGCCCGTAACGTGAATCTCCTTTACGCTGATAAATTGTTACGACCTTCTTACGGCCGTTAATTAGACCCACTTAAGCACCTTGTTTTAATCCGATCTCGTCCGCGGCCCGATTCGAACGCGAAATAATAATATCAACGGAAGTTGCCAGTTTTTGCGCCGGTTTTTAATCAAACACGGCCACGCTTTAATTAACTGTATAAATATACGTGTATCTCTAAATGGAAACTGATAAATTATACGACAACGTTTCGTATCCCGTTAGATATTTACTCTTACCCAATACAAAAGTTAACATTGTAATTCAACATTATATTATATATATAAAAAGAAAAAATTAATTGCAACGAAAAATAAGTGAAATTAGAATTTTGCCAAATTAAGCGATACGTAGAGAAAAGAAAAAATCGAGCATTGGCTAGAGAAAAGATCTCATCATTGCTCATTACATCTATTTACTTTCGTTCGGGAGGCTCGCCGGCCAACTGACTCCCATAATTTCGACCTTTGCCCCCGTTCGAATTCAGGATCGTGTGCACTCTCGTGGCACAGATGCGGGAGCAACAAAGAACGCCGTCAGAAATGCCGGTATGCGCTCGATTCTAATATTAGCGTGCGTATGGGCAGGCCGATCAGAAAATTTCAACGACGTTTTGCGCGTCGTGGTAGTGGTCTACAGTACGCGCGAACACGGGGGATAATCAGCGCTAACTTGGCTCTAACTATTCATAGCACGTGCGCAATGTCGTGGCCGGCACGTTGCCCGGATCAGGCGTCAACTCGTAACGCAGCCTCTCTCTCTCTCATTTCGTGCGCGTATGCACGAATCCATCGATCGATCGCCGCGTTCTTCTCCCTTTCGTTTCTGCAAATTTTTATCGTCGACCGATTTGCAATTTTCTATCTTTATCGTTCGTTGAACGAAACGTTTTACGGAAAAGAGAATCGCGAACGTCATTCACGAAATAATAATTAGTCAGAGGGTGGAAACGAAAGGGTGGGGGATGTTAGGGACGCGTCATTAATCCCGATGCCATTATATCTATTCGATCGATAAATCTTGCGGTACAAATTAATAACAGGGTGTCTAGACTCTGGATCAATCTCATTGCCAAGGTTTGCGCGAGAGGGGGAGGAGGAGGCGAAGAAGGAGAAAAGAATCATTATCCGACGGCTTCTTCTTCTTCTTCTTCTTCTTCTTCTTCTTCGAGAAACTCGTACGAGAGGCTCGCGGCAAAAGCAATTTGCTCGCCTTGAAAACCGTCGGTAAATCACCTTGCACTTTGCGGCTCCTGGTGCTTTGCAAACGTGCCTTTTTCTCTCTCTCTCTCTCTCTCGCTCGACAAAAATCCTTAGAAGAGGCCTTTTCCCCTCTCCTCTGTTACGCTTCCCCCTCCACTTTTACGCTTTTCCGTTTACATCGTGCCACATACGTCGAGCTCGTATCGAGATCGTATCCTCTCTCCCCCCTCCCCGAAGCTACTTTTATACATCTGTACGAGGAGAACAACGTCGTTCTTCTCGTCGCGATCGTTCGCCGCTGCAATTTGCTCACCTTGATCCGCGCATGCCACTCTAACCGCACGACTTGTACGTACGTACGAGCGGAGCGGCGTGGTTATGCGCATCGTGCACACGTGTTGCACACGTGGTGGCACTCGCCGAGCGTTGCACACGCGGAAAATACGTGTATATCCCCGTAGCGCGTACTTCCCGCCGCAACTCTTATTATTGTTAAACGCGTCATCATTAAATAAATTGGCTTGGTTACTCGCTCTCTTACTCCTTCCTACCATCTCTGTCTCTAAGTCACGTAATAATAGCGGCCTCTTTTTCCTCCTCTCAATGTTGCTCGTCGCAAATAAAGATTGGTCGTTTCGTTCTTCTTCCTTTTTTTTCTTTTTTCCAGATATTTGTATATTTTTTCGGAGCAGTGTTTTTTGACACTGCCCGATTCTCTCATACGCGCTTAGCTGCATAAGCGACGTGACGACGCTCAAATAGCTGATCTTTCCTAAAGATCCGCGTGTAACTGAAATATATCGAAAAATATCGTTACCAAACTATTGTTCGTTCGTTTATTTATTTATTTTTTTCATCCTACAAAACATTATCCGATTAACAGGAGAACGATATCCAACCCACTTCTGTATCGAGGCGAACACTTGTTACACAGGCTCGCTATCGCAGGCCAATTCGAAAACACATTTTACCGCGATATCCCTTTACGATGTCGTCTAATCTGGGGATGCGCATGCTCGGCCAGAGATAACTCGGGATCGGGAGGATAACGACGAAAAGGTGGATGGGCGAGGGGAGGGGCAATTGGCTGGTAACGTAAAGAGGAACGTAAATAGGAGGGAGACGCGTGGAGAGAGGCGCGTAATGAGAGGAGGCGAATCGGTCGAGTAGTTATCGTTCCAAGCACCGTGGAAGAATGCCGCAAATGCGTGTACCAAGCCGGCATTATCCTACAAAGTGTCGATTAACCGTGGCGACGCGTATCGCGTATGAAGTTACATTACCAGGGCTGCAAGATGTTCGCCCAGCAGGCGGGCAGAAAATGCACTCGGATGGGGCCAGACGCTTACGAGTGACGAGACGAGACGCGACACGTATTTGCCCTTTGGCAGTTTAGCCTTTCCTCCCTTTCGTTCCATCCACACGTAGGGGATATTGGGTGTACACGCGATCGAAGGATGATACTGTAATCTGATTTTTCGTGCTTAGGTTTATTAGGGATTGCGCGACGAGCAAGTGTATTACGGTGTACTGTTTCAATTACTATCGGTGCTCGCTTTGTCCCTTTTACGGCGTTAATAAAGGTTATTACCGCGTCTACGTGCTAATATTATATCGCGTGTACGTGCACGATCGTGGTAAAACGCGGTATTTCGTGGTGGAACGCCTCCGGTGAGGTGTTTCGCGGATGGGATTACATCCGGTTTGAATCGAGCAATGGTTCGATATTCTTTTTTTTTTTTTTCTTTCTTTCTTTGTGTTTTTGTACTCGAAGAAACGGATCGTCGTGCGATTCTATTTCGATCCTCCTCGATTCGATGATATCTTTATCTTATCTCATTCTCTCTTTCTCTCTCTCTCTCTCTCTCGTTTCACGCGATGTATTCGAAGATACAGAGAAGATACAGCGAACCTCCTCCATCATCGCTTTTCACAGAGAATTAAACAATTTTTCTTAGAGTTACGAATTTACCGATGGAAAAAAATTAAAATGGCAGCGCGGAATGGAGGAGTGGATCGGTTCAGAAGAATCGAAGGAGGACGAACATGGAGTTATGCTAACGAGGCCGGCGATTTGCGTTCCAGTCTGTTTATCGTGGTGCTGCAGCCCTCTCGAGTCGACGCGCGATTGGCAGAACGAGATTAGACCGGTCACGGGCCACCACGATAAGCCCCATTGTTGCTTGTTCCCGTTCGCTTTTAACGGCGGTGCATAAAACTCCGCTCGCCCCCGATTTTGCACGTGTTTCCAGGTGTCGTCGCCATATTCCGCGAAGATGGAACAATCCTCGCTCCTCTTTGTGTAAACCGCTTTTCGAACCGCTTTCCCGCCGCGCGTTATCGCGAGGGGGAGCCACGATTTTCTTTCTCCATAGTAATAACGTTCGTTACTCGAGTGACGTAATGGTCAACAGGCGGAAAGATAGCGGCGCGCGGTACAACGAGTTCGATAAAACTAGAATCGCCTTGTCACAAGACGGATTATTCGTCGAGGGGGACTCGCTTTTATTGGCGGAGATTAATTTTATCTTACGAATTGCGTTTCGTAATTGCGTTTGCGCGCGGGGAAAGTGGAACGCGCGTATACGTAATATCTAGGATGATTCGACGAGATCGAAATCGGTGTAAAATTCTTGTAACGAACTCTTCTACGAACATCGTCTGCTCCAAACGGAGTGTATTCGTTTGTTCGTGAAATTACACTTGCTCGCACTGTTTACACCGTTTTCGAAGCTACAAGTACTCTCGAATCGCGACTTATTGTAGAAATTTGTGGAAACCAAATTACAACGCGTTCGAATGCATGCATCCTCTCTCGAACAAACACCGTCTTCGTATCGAGATCGATCTCGCGACTCCAGGCCGGCAGAAGGAAAGCTTTCGAGCCCGATATTACGTTCAACGATATAGGCGAAAATATTTCTTTTCTCATCGATCGTTTGGCCCTCCCCCCGCATCAATCGATGTTTCATTCGTCACGTCACGTGGTGCGGAAAACGCGCACACGTTCCCTTTTTTTTCTTTTTTTTTTTTTTGCTGTGGGTAACCTAATGGTTTCCTCCGCGATACGATCGAAGAGATCGCTCGGGGTCGTATCTTTATAGCGCGTGCAATGACTCCTTTTACCCGCCGGTGCACCGCATGCACTGCCCTCATAAATCCGTCAACCAAACATCATTAAGTTGGTGTTATTGGTGCTTGGCCGCGACTGGCGCACCGAGTCCCGCCAGCCAGTTGCAAACAGGCCTCGCTATTCTCGACTCTCGTTCGCTGATGAATCAAGACGGCCACGGTGCGCGCGGCAATTCTATCATTTTGAAGGGAAACGCTCGATCTACTACGTTTGCTTGTAATTCAACGGGGGACACGGAGACGGAGTTGGATGGAACGCGCGTTTGATATACACGATTTAGGTCGTTAACGGCTCCCCCCTCCCTCCCTCCTCCGCGCTTCTCGTAAATTAACTCGGATATCCTTTCTTTTTCAGGTAAGAAGCGGCCGATCTGCCATCCGAGAAGGATGCGCGGAGAGATGCTATTCGCCGGAGTCGAGTGAAAGCGCATCCCGTAGTACGTATATTAACGAATTATTAGCAGAGAGATCCAGAGATCTTTCTTGAGCTACTCGATCGAGTTTCTCGAAAGAAGGTATTCTGAGAATTTTCACGCGGAATAAAATCGGTTCGAAGCGATATATACATAAATTTAAAGTTTCAACTATTTCTATCTCGAGAAAAATTCGGTATTTCTCCGATAAATTTCCAAGGAATTTTCATTCGTTCCATCCCTCGGTGGAATAAATCGTTCGCTCGATATTTTTCGACATAGGGGATGATACAACAGTGGATAATTTCAGAAATCGTCGGCTTTAACGATGCGATGAGTCGTTGAAACTCCCCTCGTTCCGTTAAAATAATTTGCCAACGGGAGAGATTAGCTGTGCGGTTTCCCCTCCCTGCGGATATCGATCGCGTTGAATTACAATTTGCACGATCGACCACCGATCGCTTCGAGTTTTCCACGCGAAATGGATCGGTTTCGAAAAAGGATCCCGCCTCGGTCATCTCTTTCGAGATTCGACGCGACTCGTACACCACGCCGACGTTATGTTATTTACCGGTGCTTTTACCGTGAATCGTTGACGTCTTACGATCGGCAGTAAAACGGGCGATAAACTTAGCGAAAGCAGCGACAGGCCACGGCTGAGCACAATCGAAAATGGAAGTCAAACAAGCGGTCGAGGGGCATTTTACGGGCACCGAAGGCGTGCTGGAAACGCGTCGCGATGATGTATCACGCTTGACAGTTATGCTACTCTCACCTTACGCCCGTGTGTCCCTGCCCGCGCCATTTGTATATCCGTCATTAACGTTTGTGCATGCCAGATGCGCGCCGCGCGGATTTCAGCGCAAGCGTTCAAATTCGCGCACCGGCTCCGCGGTCCTTTCTTGGTGTGCGCGCACCGAACTTTACGATTCGCGTAGGCGTTCCTCCGAGTACTGGTTACCGCGTACTCGGAAACACAAGGATGGTGTTTCACGGGATGGAGACGAGACGAGAGAGTTACGTCTATGTTTTCCCAACATTTTTCCCTCTACCTTTCGCCTCGCTCGTATAGATCACGTTTATAGATTGCGTTTCAATGGTAATAATCGAGCCTCTTTACGTGCTCGTTCGACGATGGCTCGCGTGATGGGATTATATGGAAAATATTCGTCGGGGAACAATAGTTGTATCCGATTCTTTCTTCCGCCACGATATGTAATATAATGGAAAAACAACGGAGATGTATTTTTCAATACGACGAATTGGAATATCGAGTAAATTCTTACGTCCTTTGTTTTTTTTTTGAAATAGATTTTCTAATAGCTCTTCGTTATAGATTTTATGAAACGAATGGAATGTTTGGATGGTTTCGATTACAAAAATGAATCGTCTCGAGATCTATTTATTTATTTAATTTTTCTTCTCCTTCGCGCGAAAGAAACTCCGTTATCGCCAATTACAAAATATGTACATCGCTTCGATATTCATCGATGAAACGCGATACAAAATTTCCTTCTAAGCTTTCCTCTTCCTTTTTGCTTCCGCTTTGCGCACACGCTTTATTATCGTTTTGAAGTAACGGTCGATCCGCGACCTAGGCGGGCTTGTAAATATCGCGGCGGTCTCTGGAGCGCGAATACCAATTTTAATCGGCACGCCCAGGTGGCCGGAATGAAAATACGAATACGAGAGAGCGCGTTGGCCGCGCGAGTTTGTCGGCCGCTACCGACCGGAATTTGCCTCTCTAATAAGCGGCTATCGACTGGAAACTGGGATAACTCGTGTGAGTGAAAGCTAAATGATTCGTTCCGAAGGAGAAAGTCGGAACTCGTGAACCCGCGTCTCTCGTCAGCCACGTTCACCCGTTCGCGGACACGGGGATGAAAAATCGTGTCGCGTGAGTCACCGTGGGGCGGAAACGCTTCCGACTTTTCTCGCGGATTTCACGCCCTCGTAGCGGTTCTTTCACTCCTCCAAACGCACCCGATGCTTTCGAATTGGGAGAAAATTGCGTGGAAATTTTCGTTCGTGGAATCGTTGTTATTCGGTGAAAATGAAAAAGGAACGGCGTGAAAATTCGTACTCATCCAAAATTATCGATGACGATTTCGCGAGTGGAATTTGGTAATCGTATACGGAGCAAAAAGTTTCAGAATTTTCATTGAGACGATGGAACGATGCTGGAAAGTAAATTCTTGATAATAAATGCATAGAAAAGGTTTTGGCCAAGAAAGTCCGCGGAGCATTAGCTTTCACGAGAAACCGATGGTTAAGAACCAATGATACAGGGGATCCATTGTGCCCCTTGTGATTGTTTGTTGGTACCGATCGTAAATTTTCAAGCTGTGCGTGTTGTATATGTATATATATATATTCGAGGATATCGTATTGATTGCCGTATTGAACGCGTCGCATTTGCGAATTGTTTAGGGATCCCCGTGAAATTTATAGCGGCGCTTTAACCCGATGTAGATCGCATTGACATCCTGCATGACGATGTGTCGAGCTTTCCTACGCAGGGCAACGCTATAACGATTTACGTAATCGAATATCGTTTTCTGCATTGTGAAACACATCGACCGCATCGGGGCAAGCAACAACGGCTTTTCAACGATCCAATTTAAGATCGAAAAGGTAATACCGGCCTTTTGTTTCGAGGAGAGAACGATAAATATCCTCGTCCACGTGTATTTTCGTTCCTCTTTTTCGCCATAGTTTTCTACTTTCCCGTTAATTTTTTTTTTTTTTTTTTTTTTTTTTACTTCCCCTCAACGTGGATGCAAAACACCCGTGAAAAAACATCGCGCCACAGGTTGATCAATGAAAAATTATGTTCCAACTTTCGGCTCGATAGCCTCGCTTCGTAACTTTGACTACGTTTTACAGACAATATTCCAAAGATCTTTTTTTAAAATATATAAAAAAAAAAAACGAAGGATAATATATTTTCACGGAATTACCGTTGTTAATACGACGCCGATTAAAACCAACTTCCCTGAGATCTTTATTAACATCTCAACGCCGCTCAGTTTTTCCGCTTCATTATCAATTTCCACTCGAGCGGGTATCGTTGGACGCCGTATCTCCGTGGTTTTCCGAATAGAAACGCGACACAATTCCCGTGATTTGTTGCTCGATTAATGGAAGCATGTACGGCCCGTTCAATCGATCCAATATTCGCACGCTATCCCCCTCTTTTCTTCCTCTCTCTCCCTCCTTCCCTCACCCTCTCTCTTTCCCTTCCTATCGCCTTCCTATCTTCGTCTCTCTCTCTCTCTCTCGCTCTCTCTCGACGTCGAATACGATATCATCGCTAATAGCAACGACGTCGTTGCTGGCGGCGACGCGAGATCGCTTACGATATTTTCTCCGGAAGGTTTTAAGCGAGTCGCAGCCGGGACTGCGCGGATCGATCGGCGGATAAACCGGCCGATAGATACAAAGCGTTGCGGGTATAGGACGATGCAACGGCATGCGAGCTCGCGTCCGCCAATGCCTCCTTCTCGAAGGCAAACAAAACGAATGCCGGATACCTATAACCGATCCAGGGACGCACCGAATAAGTAAGTACGTATATATATCCCGTAGATACGCGTAGGTACTGCTTCTCTTTCAGACGCGGATTTTCTCGATTGTAACTCGCTGTTATACGAATATTCGAGAGGCGACGTCTCCCAAGAGAATGTATGATTTATTACGAGGAATTGGTCGAGAGGAATGGAGAATTTGGATATGGAATTTGGATGGATGGATGCCTCGAGACTTTTAAATATCGTATGTAATTGTGGTATTTGTGGTGTAATTTAGGTTTCGTGTCGAGATGGATAAATTCTTTTTTCTCTTTCTCTTTTAATAAGGATAGTTATTACAGTTTCGTGTGCCCCGTTTCGAGATACATTTGAAAGGATAAGAGGCATTTCTGCTTCGAGATATAAAGATCTCTTCATGCTCTATTAATCTGCGAACCCTTTCCGTTTACGATCATAATTATAATTTACCAACTTGTTATTTACGTGTATTATTTGTTTATCGACGAGACGTGTATCCCTCGATATCTAACTCGGATAGAAAAGGACGAACCGCGCAATGTTTCCACTTATATTTTCATAAATTCGTAAGATTATTCAAGTTCGAATCTCCTTTCTCCCCCCTCTCTCTTACCCTCCCGCGCAGAATTTCAATTTGCGCATTCCCGTATTTTAACTCGCTACACCCTCCTGCCCGATCCCTCTTTGTCCCGCTACATAGCGAAACATTGAAAACCCAGAAAATTGATCGCCTCGAGGAGACAGCCGATTGTCTGGAACACGGGGCCTGGGCCGAGGAACGGCGTGGCGCGCGACGATATTGAAAGCGTAATCCGGTGAAATCGTAATCGAGCGATCCGTAGAAAAGCCGGCCGAGTATTTCGACCGATCCGTTCCTGCAATAGAGAGAGTCTCCACCTCTCTCTCTCTCTCTCTCTCTACCTCAGCTGCACCAAGCGCATCCCGCGCTTCCACCCCCTCCCTCTCGCGCCCACGGTTTCGTTCGTTGTGTTCCGCTCCTCCCTCTCCTCCCTCCTCCCTCTTCGTTCTATTCCAGAGCTCGTTATTGAATTTGTGCGTCGGCCGAGCGAACCGACGATATCGCCTTTCAATATCGCTTCATTTGGCTCACGTTCATTCGATTTGCGGGAATATCTCTGACTGTCCCCCACCCCCGCGCTCGCTGCACCGGCGTACGACAGCGAACCACCCCCCTCTCTCTCTCTCTCTCTCTCTCTCTCGTCATCGTATATACCCTCAGACTAATCCTTTTTAAATATTCCATTCGGAATCAAGCGGAAATTAATCGGATCTTCGGGCCGCCGCCGCCGCCTCCGCCGCTATCGCGGCTCTTTCTCTCCTCCTCCATCCATCCCCTTAAGCTTTGTTCCAGGTTCAATTTGTTCGGACTTAAAGCGACGCCGATACGTTCATTGAATCATCAGTTAATTAAACGGTTTGTTACCGATCGCCGATACGTTTGCTGCAGATGGAGGTAAATTGGATTTACGTAACTGAAAAACGAAACGTTCGCG